TCATCCACAAGTGCAAGAGTGCACTCTATCACCATCTCGGGATGAACCCCTGCAGTACCCCACTTGTTACCATCCTCCCTATAGGACACCTTAACCGCTACTCGCAGAGTCCATTCATCCAACCAGTCTTTTACTCATGTAGTTCTCCATCCACTCAGACTGTAACATCCAAATCTGGATACAATATTGTTGGAGACAGATTTGAAAGCCTTGTTAAGGTCAAGGTAAATGAAATTTGCTGTTCTTCCCTCATCCAGAAATTCAGTCATTTACCATAGAAGAGAATCAGGCTAGTCATGCATGATTTATCTTTGATAAACCCATGTTGATTGTTCCTTATCACTTCCTTCTTGTGTGCTGGAATGCATTCCAGGAACACCCATGCCCTTATTTTCCCAGAGATGAAAAGGAAGTTAGCTAGCTTTGTAGCTCCTTGGACTGTATTTTTGGAAGGGTGCAACATATGCCTTTCTCCAGTCATCAGGAAGCTCTCCTGCTTGCCAAGATGATGAAGAGGGACCTTACTGTGACTCTGGCCAGCTCTATCAACATCCTCAGTCACAGTCCATTTGGCCACATGGATTTGTATGATTCAAGCTCTCTCAACAGCCTCAATTTAATCCTCATCCACTGCTGGTAGCTACTCTCTGCAAACCCTGCCACTAAGCATAGAGGCCTGGGACACTTCTTGGTGAAAGCTCACTAAGAAAAAGAGGTGAGGCCATTGCGTACCTCAGCTTTATCTGTGTCACTTAATGACACATCACATTCAAAAGAAGCCCATGTTTTACTTGTCTAGCTTTTTACCTTTAAAGTACCAAAAGGAACTCTTCTTTCTGCCCTTGTCCTCCCTGGCAAGGGTCATCTCTAGGTGAGCACTGGCTCTCTTGATGCCATCCCTACATACCAGGACAATGTTTCTAAACTTCTCCTTGACAGCCTGTCCCAGCTCCCACTGCTTGTGTACCCCATTTTTGCACTGGAGCTCAGACATGAATTCCCTGTTAAGCTAAGCTCATCTCTTGATAGGCCTGCTTGTTTTCCTGAGTAATTACTGGTATCTGAATTGCTTCTCAGTGATATCCTGCTGGACCTAGCAAGCATGAAGAGGTGAACTATCCACATGAACAAAAGGGTGAAAAAGCAGGGGACCAATAGGACTTAACTGAAAAAAGAACATGGGAGAAAGTTCATACAGTTGACACAGTGAACAGAATCTTGAATTTGAGATACGGACCAAGCCTGAGATGGGTGAGAAGACTGGTAGGAAGGGCAAAAACAAATTTAGATGAGAGACCAGCTAGACAAGACGACCAGAATGAAGTACAACACAGAAGCTGGAAAACTTCAGAAGACAGAGCAGGAGTCAGTGAAAATGCAGAACAGAGAGGACAGATCCTAGCCATGATAAGAGAACTGGATGTGAAGCTGAGGGTAGTGGACAGAAGCCTGAGAGCAGCAGACAGGACTGTGATTAGCTGGACAGAATTCAAACAGTGAAAGAATACCGGGATAAACAATTTATTAGTTAGAATCTCCCAGAGCACAGAAGTTCTGGATCTCAGAAAAAAAGCCCTGTAGCAAAAAACACGCTGTTTACATGGTAAAAATAGGACTGTGACATAAGATTTCAGAATAGGGAAAAAAAGACTGGGATAGGAAGATATTTAAGTAGATATTACAGAAGGAATAAACAGAAAAATCAGCACCCACTGGAACAGGCTTATTCCCAGAGCCTGGAATAGAACCCAAGATTCCAGAGTTTCATCACTACTTTTAAACGCTTTAAAAACTCAGAAAAACATTCTCCAACCATATAATTTGGACAACAGATGAATTACAAATTACTGCTATCCACTCTCTGCTAGCTCAAGAGGCAGAATTCTTATGGCAAAATACACAAATTTCAGCCTTTCTAAAGTCATATGCTCTAATGTGATCCCGCATGACAGAAGGTTTCCTCCTGTCCATCAGGGTCACTGTCTTTTTTTAATCTAGCATGATGACCATTTTGTTTATGTGTGAAGAATTGATTTTTTTAAACAGATGAGTACAAAAAACCTAGCCCTTATTTAGAAAAAGTTACAGTCACATCACAAAAATTAAAGATTATTTGATCTTGTTCTCTGTGCCCTTGTGAACAAGGTACTCTTGCTGTATTACTGAACAAGATATTAAAAAAAAAATTTAAATAACTACACTATAAGGACCTTGCCATATGCACTGCAAATATTGGCAAGTGTGTTGTTAATAAGATAGGTATTGAAGGAAAAGAGGAAAATAATATTGTGCCAGAGAACTTGATTTTCTTCTTGTTCCTTGCAAGTAAATCACCGTAAAAAAAAACCACCAACAAACACACAAACCACACTATCAATGGGCAATCCACTCTTCAAAATTTTGGGACTTCAGGGTTAACGTTGCAGCAGATCTAAGTATATATACATGCAGTCTAAATCAACAGACACCATAGTACAAATCAAGCAGTGATGTCTTTTCTAGCATATGCATTCATGGATACCTGTTAAGGGATCTATAAAAAAATAACAAAAAAAAAAAAAAAGCCAGGTTATTGTGAGTAAATTACATTGGGAGACAGACTTTTATGAGAAAACATTTTAGAACATGCAAATCATTAGAACTGATAGATTATTTTGAAAAATCATATCATAAAGGCTCTAAATTGGATATTCAACACAAAGGGACACATAACACATCTCAAGAGATTTCTGTACAAATATTACTAGTGAAACATGCAGGCACTAGAGACTGAAGGTAATGAAACAGCAAAAGAGGAAATTAAGAAGGTACAGTATGAACAGCACATACCAAATAGTAAGGCCACACATTATTTGATTATCAAGAGAAAAGATTCAATATAGCTCACTGAACACAGTCTATGCCATTCTATGATATATACTGAAAGAAACATTGTAGGGAAAAGTATAACATTTAACCATAAATTTAGAGGCCAAATTAGAGTTCTTTCAAGAGTCCTTAATTCTAGCATTATCATGATATACAAGAGCTTGATCTCGCAACTTCAAAGTTCTTTGAAGATAGTTTTTGTTGCTTAATAACAAAACAGAGGTGCTATTTCCCTAAAAAACAAAAACATCACTTCATTTGCAGATTAGATTCATCATATAAGAGATACATATTAATGCAATCATACATAGCATGCATCATCTGCATTTGTTTTCCTTATTGTATTAGAAGTATATTCTATGACCAAACAGCCAGCTTTTGAAAGAGTCCAGAAAAAAATTGTCACATTTTGCTTTGACACTAGCTCCCCCTCCAGACCAGCCTAAGATTATAGTAATTACTTTTTATTTTAAATTCTGACTCAAACAAGATTTACATACTCATCCAAATCTTCTTCATTTTTATCCCCTTAAATGTCAATGAACAGACTGATCATATAATGTAAACATAGAGTTATCGTTTATTATTTTTTTACTGTACATAAATTCCAACACTGGGAAAAATCATCGGGTTTAGAACACATCTGACAGAGAAAGCAGCTGTACAGCTACAGAGACAAGAATGGACCAAAAATACAGTTTTTCAGATTAATCTTATGAATAGTCTGCAGTATTTGTAATATATAAACATTTCATTATACAATCAAGGCCCTTTTTGCAGTCCCAATAAAGTGATTGTAAACCAGAAATGCCAAAACGAAAGGGAGCCCCTCTGGGGTTTAGTACTTTCCGTACCAATTTGCTTAAGGTGAATTAGCTCCATTTCTGCTCCAGCAAGTACAGTTAAAATTTTTTTCTTGTTCTAATATTAGCTAGAATCTCTCTTCAGTTGCACAGCTAATGAAACTGCCAAAATTTTAAACAAATGAAGACACAAGAGTAAAAGAGAAAAAAGCTACAACTTCCAATCTGACCCTCTGTATTTCCCAGTTGTCAGATGTCCTGGCAGCTACATTACTAAAAGAGTGAATTTGCATGATTTAACATTCCAGGTTGATTCCTACACCTCCCTCATTACTGAACTGCTTGCTCAGAAAAGATGAATAATTAATTATACTTTCAACACTGAAAAAAAGGTTGTCTCATTAGGTGGTGTTGGGAAATACGCAAACTTTGCAATACGCTAGTTGGCCAGTTTAAGGTACATATACGTATGAAATCCTAACAAGTACCAGTAAATTTGGCAGTAAGCGTACCTGTAATAAGCAGAGAAACAGACACTACTGGAAATACATCAAAGCATAGTCATCAACTCCTAATAACTAGCTTGAGTTAATTATGGAAGGAATTTTAACAGAGCCCTCTGTAAAACCACTCCAAGCAGCAGCAGCAGCACAGGCAATATTGGCCACTTATTTGCTTCTACCGTTCAGACTTTTCTAAAGTTTATCACAATTTCCAGTGGAGAATGACTTAGGAAAAGAAAGAAGATTAATACTGTAAAACAGAAAAACCTTTACATGCTTAAAACACTCTTTCTAATTACTCCATTAGCTTTCAGTTAATACCCAGACACTAAAACACTAAATTTTGGGGTAGAGGGAGTAGGTGTGCATATGCGTGCAGAACCGCACGTGTATACTGAAACACACACGTTTCAGCTGACCTGTATGTTTCAGCACATACACGCACACACCCAAAAAAGGTGCAAGATCACTGACAAAGTGTCCTGAATACACAGTTGTTTTCCACATCCACATATGCACAGTGTGTGTGCGCACTGAGGGCACAGGGACAGTGGGTTACACCCTGAGGAACTCGCAGCCTTTCAACAAGCAATTTTTCAGCTGATGTCTATGCCCATAGGCTTTTTGGTACAACTCGTAGCCCAGCATTATAGTCTCTACCTGTTCTTGTACCCCCCAATCGTGAGCTGCTTGAGGCAGAGGGTCACAGCCTGGTCTTTGGCGAGCATCTGGAACACAGTGGGTACACACTCGCACACACATGTGAAAGATCTGAGCAGACATTAAGCGCAAAACTCGACTAGAGGAGGAACCACCAGAGCCTTACTAGTACCAGAATCCAAGAGTAAGGCAGTTAAATGCGCCGAAATATGGTAAAGGTCGCCGTGGGAAATGCCCCGGGCAACAACCGGTGGCTCTGCACCCTTGTAAGACAAGCACTTCCTCGAGCTACCAGGCGGCCCTGGAGCACAAGGTCCGCCCGTGAAGCCAACGCTACCCCTGCGCTTCCCTCAGCCAAAACCAGGCGTCCCCTCGGGCGGCCGCACTTCCCGGGACGAGGAAAGTTGGAGGCCACCCCCCGCCCCCCGCGGCCGCGGCGCACGGGACGGCGGCAGCCGCGCTCCCCAC